AATCCTAGCACTCTGGGGAGGCCAAGGTGGGTGGATTGCCTGAGCTCACAGGTTCGAGACCAGCCTGAGGAAGAGTGAGACCCTGTCTCTAAAAATAGCCGGGCGTTAACCGGGAGTTGTGGTGGGTGCCTGTATTCCCTGCTACTCAGGAGACTGAGCAAGAGACTCGCTTAAGCCCAAGAGTCTAAGGTTGCTGTGAGTTGTGACACCATGGTACTCTACTGAGAACGACATAGTGAGACTCTGTCTAAAAAAAAAAAAAAAAAATAGCTGGGTGTTGTGACAGGCGCCTGTAGTCCCACCTACTCAGGAGGCTGAGACCAGAGAATTGCTTGAGCCCAAGAGAGGTTGCTGTGAGCTATGATGCCACAACACTTTACCCAGGGAGAAAAAGTGAGACTCTCTCAAAAAAAACAAACAAAAAACCCCACCTATTTTGAACTGAAAAATATGATTAACTCAAACCTCTGTACTTTCAAAAGCCAAACGAGGGCAGTGGCTTTGGTAATAAAATCTGAACAAAGTACATACTTGTATGTCACTTACTCAAACTCAGAAACAGTCACAGAGCTGCTAGTGAATACTGACCAAAATCAAATGCCTTTCAAAAGACATTTGTAGGCTTGACACCCGTAGCACAGTGGGTACAGCACCAGCCACATACACCAAGGCTGGAGGGTTCAAACCCAGGTGGGACCAGCTAAACAATGACAACTGCAACAATAAAAAAAAAAAAAAAGCAGGCACTGTGGCTACTTGGAAGAATGAGGCAAAAGAATCACTTAAGCCCAAGAGTTGGAGGTTGCTGTGAGCTGGGACGCCACAGCACTCTACCAAGGGCAACATAGTAAGACTCGGTCTCCAAAAAAAAAAAAGAGGTTTGGCGCCTGTAGCTCATCTCGGTTGCTAGCCATATACACTGGAGCTGGTGGGTTTGAATCCAGCCCAGGCCTGCCAAACAACAAAGACAACTACAATCAAAAAATAGCTGGGCATTGTGGCAGGCGCCTGTAGTCCCAGCTAATTGGGAGGCTGACTCAAGAAAATCACTTGAGCCCAAAGAGTTTGAGGTTGCTGTGAGCTGTGATGCCACCAGCATTCTACTGAGGGCAACATAGTGAGATTCTGTCTCAAAAAAAAAAAAAAAAAAAAGACATTTATAAAGAAGGTCAAGACTGAATAACAGTAGATGATAACCATATCTCAAATTTGGGCTCATTTTCAGAAAACAAAACGTTATAATTCCACATTTTTAAAAGGTGTGGTGGTAGAGGAAATGCCGTAAGACATTTTAAAAATTATTTTCTCTCCATCTATTTTTTTTTTTTTTAATGGTAGAGACAGAGTCTTACTTTATCACCCTCGGTAGAGTACTGTGGTGTCATAGCTCAGAGCAACCTCCAGTTCCCGGGCTTAGGCGATTCTCTTGCCTCAGCCTCTCGAGTAACTGGGACTACAGGAGCCCGCCACAACACCCAGCTATTTCTTTGTTGCAATTTGGTTGGGGCCAGGTTCGAACATGCCACCCTCGGTATATGGGGCCAGCATTCTACCCACTGAGCCACAGGGCCACCCAGCCCATCTATTTTTTTTTTTTTTTTAAACATAAGGCCTGGCTTGGCGCCTGTAGCTCAACCGGCTAGGGCGCCAGCCACGTACACCTAAGGTGGCGGGTTCAAATCCAGCCCGGACCCGCCAAACAACAATGACGGCTGCAACCAAAAAATAGCCGGGCATTGTGGCGGGTGCCTGTGGTCCCAGCTACTTGGGAGGCGGAGGCAGGAGACTCGCTTGAGCCCAGGAGTTGGAGGTTGCTGTGAGCTGTAATGCCACGGCACTCTACCCAGGGGGATAGCTTGAGGCTCTGTCTCAAAAAAAAAAAAAAAATAAGGCCTCACTTTGTTACCCAGGCTGGAGTGCAAAGGCCTGATCACAGCTCATTGGAGCCTTCAACTCCTGGGTTCAAGTGATCTTCTTGTCTCAGCCTCCCAAGTAGTAGGATTACAGACACATTCCACCATGCCCAGCTATTTTTCTTAATTTTTTTGTTGAGACAGGGTCTTGCTATGTTGCCCAGGCTGGTTTCTCAAACTCCTGGCCTCAAGTGATCCTCCTGCCTTGGCTTCCCAAAGTGCAAGGATTACAGGTTATCAGCTATCCCACTTGGCCTTAAGTCTATTGACTCCTAACAGAAGCTTTCTGGGAGAGTTAGATCTGCTTTCCTAGGCAAGCTTAAAATGTCATGGCTAGATTACCTGCCTCAGAATCATTTGGAGTGATCAACCAGGATGATGGTGAGAGATCACTGAATTTTACTTAGGATCTCTGCATTTTACCCAGCATCCCAAACGTTTCTTGTTCATACTGGATTTGAAAAAATAGTGTATCAATTTCAAGACAAGTATCTAGCCAACTTTAGTCCACCATGTCCCTGGCACTCCCATTATCTGATATGGCTTGTTTCTTACTCGTCCTGTGCAAATTCCTTACTCCCACTCTGAAGGCAGTACTCCCTAACATCTCTCAAACTCTAGGCTATATCCCCAACCTGGATCTCTGCCACTCCTTCTCCTACTGCTCCCCCAGTGGCTGTTTTCATGGTGAATGACACCATACACCTATCAGGGTCACCCAAGCTGGAAACCTGGGCATTAGCCTAGACTCTTCCCCTTGATCCTTTCTCACACTCAACATCCAACCGTGGTACCCAGCAAGTTGTTTTGTAATCACTTTTAAATTTTGTGGTTTAATTTGTGAGACCCTGAGTACCTAGGAGGCTGAAATCTTATGTCTCATTCATCATTGCACTCCTACAGATCCTGGCTCACAAAAGGTATCAAATACAAGTCTGCTAAAAAGGAACCAATCATGTGCAGTGCTATTTCCTCTGCCCAGAAGCCTCCTACTAGCAGCTTCCTGGATTGATTCTCACACGTGCATGAGCCTGGGCTGCTTGGGAAGGGTGGGAGCAGATAACTCACCGTCTTTCATACTCCATGTCCTGATAGGGCCTGCGGGGGCTGTTGGGGCCTCTCCTCAGCCGCTGGCTCCGTTTCACTTCCCAGCCACCCCCACTGTTGCCACCATGATCTGCCAGCCTGAGTGATGCCTCCTGCAGGGACTCTGGGAAGAGCAGAAGGAAGAAAGGGATCAAGGTAGTTGGGGCAGAGAGAGCCTCCCTGAGAAACCTTTGTTGTCATGGATCTCTGCTGTTCCTCAGCCCAGAGATGTTGTTTTTCAACTCCCTGTGCTCCTATGGATCATAGTGGGAAGACAGTCCCTCCTTGGTCTGCTCCTCCCTTTCCACACATCAAGGCCTTCACCAGACAGGGGTATCTTGCAAGTGGTGGGTCCACCTACTGTGTGATCAGAGCTTTGCCGCTAGAGTCTAGTAGACAAGTTCAAGCCTGGGGCTGCCTGCCTGGAGGGCTCTCAGTGCTGAATGACTTGCCCAAGATTAGGCACATTAGGTAAGACTTCGCAACAATGGGAGTCCCAGGCACTCACTAGGCTCCTTCCATGGGCCCCAAGATACCATTTCAACCTCCCAACAAAATGCTGGCTGCCCCCTATAAGGCAACAAAAGATCATGAAGGGCTTGGGTGTGTGTGTGAAGGGGCTAACTTGGCAATGAGACTGCTGCCACCTCCCTCAACTCCTGGCCAACACAGCCTTGGCCCTCAAGTGGCAACTGGCTCAGCCCTCAGCCCTGTCTCTTATGTGCAGCAGGGTCCCAAAGTGGCTTTTCCCCTGAGGCTCTGAGCCCAAGTTTTCCAGAGGCAGAAGTGGTTCTTCTGGAGGCTGTTCTGAACCACTGGGATGAAGGGGCAGTCACCTCATCCAACCCTCAGGGTGCCATGAGAACTAAGGGGAGTCTTGAGAGCCCTGTGACCCAGCCAGGGATCAGGACGAATCCCACAAGCTTCAGGCTCCGCCCTCTTAAGAGCAATCAGTGAAAGCCAGGCAGTAGTAACAGAACTGTACCCAACACTAGGTTGCCACCACACCTTTACTCCATGTACCTACACACACCAATTTTCTCTTCCTCCTCAAGCCACAGGAAACCAGAGTTACCTGCTCCCAGATAGATAAGAGTTATAATCACAACCAGGGGCCCCAGTGGCTGAGAGCCAGATAAAAAACCCTCAAAAGTCACTAGCAAAGGGGCCAGAGTCACAGGCGCAAGACTCAAATAACCATGGGCGAAAATCACAGAAGCAACACATAGTAAAGGCCATAATCACACACTGAGCGCCCTTTCAATGGATGAGCATCAGTGTCACACGTAAGAACTCCTCAAAAGAGGGAGTAAGTCACACATACATTCTTTGCACTCCCCTTCCCACACAATAAGTAGGTTAGGGCCAATAACAAGACAGCCGCCCTCCCTACCCCTGTGTCGTGGATAAGGACCAGAATCACCGGCACACATCTCAAGGATAAAGACCGGAGTCACACATTCTTCCTCTGCCTCTCCCACCCCACGAATGGGGACAGAACCACAAAACATTTCCCCGTGTACATACAGATAACCACCAAAGTAACAGACAGCCAGCACACCCCCTTCCCTACGGATAAAAACCAAAGTCGCAGATACATGCCTCCTCATGGATAAAGTTCGGAGTAGCGAACACAGCAGCCCACTCCCATCCGTCCCTCCCTTCCCCCAATCCGCGTGCACCCATCCCGTGTCCCAATGGCGCACGCGCCTTTGCTCTCCCTCACACACACACACACGCGCGCACACACACAAAGACACCCCCTTTCCCAGGTTCAGGCTATGACAGGCATCCCTCAGTTCCATGCACACCCGCGGCCCGCAGTCCGCCCTCGCGCCGCCTCTATGCACCTCCCACCCGCCCCAGGCCCCTTACCTCCGCCCCCACGACCAGCGTCGACGCTCACCTTCTCGGCCCGGGCTGTCAAGGGAGGGCTCCCAGACATCACCTCAGCCCGCCGCCACTTCCTCAACTCCCAACTCAGCCGGAGCAGGTGTGTGGAACAAGCAAGTCCGAGGATGGAGGCAGAAGGGAGGAGGGTGAGGGGAGAAGCGCCAAGCGCGCTATTCTCCTAGGGAAATCCACTGGCTGCCTACTCCCGGCCGGCCGCAGTCACTAGCACAAAATGGCGACGAGAAGGGAGCCGGCGTTCCGGCCACCATCCACCTACTAAGGGAGCGCGCTCTGGCCGGCTTCGCCGATTGGTTGCTGCCTACTGTTGGCCAGCCCTAGCCTCCTCTGATTGGCAAGTGTATGCCACCTCCCAGTCACTGAGAGCGCCCTGCTAGTGGAGAAAAAGAGTAGCTATTGGCCAATCCAGCAAGGCCCGCTTTTTAGATCAACTTCCTTTGAAGATGAAAGACTAGCGGAAGCTTCACTTCTTTCCCCCAAAGGGCAAGGGAAATCACTGAGCAGTTGGCTGGGAATTGTGCCCACCCAAATGCCACCAATTTCTTTCTGTCAAGGAAATGAGGAGACCTATCAATAAGAGATTTCTCAGCTTGATGGAGAGGACAGGGGAATGATTGGTCCCGCGAGGCCATGACAACGGGAGTGAGAGGACTCCTGAACGCCCCACCTCATTTGAAAACCAAATCAGACTAGGGACCTATTTAGTGTGATGGGGCGGTGCAACAATTATCGCGCTGCGGGCTAACTGCGTCTGCGCACAATCGCATTTCCGTCTCCGCTCCGAGACCCTGCAGTACAATCTGTAATGGCGTCTGGGCTATTAGGTTTGTCCGCTCGCCGCCTTTTGGTGGCAGTGGCGACGCGAGGGCTCCTGGCTGCCCATGTTCGCTGGGACTCTGGTTCCTCCAGGGCTGTAGTCACCCCGTCCACTGTGGCGGGAAAGCGGCCGCCGGAACCGACCATACACTGGCAGGAGGACCCAGAACCCGAGGAGGAAAACCTCTATGGGACGAACCCCGACTCCCACGGTTTTGACAAGGACCCTGTTATAGATGTCTGGAACATGCGGGTTGTCTTCTTCCTTGGCTTCTCCATTGTCATGGTCCTTGGCGGCACCTTCGTGGCCTATCTGCCTGACTATGGGATGCAGGAGTGGGCCCGCCGGGAAGCTGAAAGGCTTGTGAAATACCGAGAGGCCAATGGCCTCCCTCTCATGGAATCCAACTGTTTCGACCCCAGCAAGATTCAGCTGCCGGAGGACGAGAACTGACCAGTTGCTGAGTGGGACTCAAGAAGCACCACCTTCCCCACCCCTGCCTGTCATTCTGTCTTCTCCTCAGAACATCTAATTAAAGGGACTGAAAGTCTAAAAAAAAAAAAAAAACCATTAAGAAACGTCAAATAACCCTCTCAAAAAATGGGCAAACTATATGAACAGAAACTTTTCAAAGGAAGATACAGATGGCCAAAAAACGTATGAGAAAATTCTCAGTATCACTAATCATCAGGGGATGCAAATTAAAACCAAAGCAGGAGAACACTTTATTACTGTGAGAAAGGCTTTTATTAAAAAGTTTAGATTTTTGTGAAGAGACAAAGACAGAGTAGTTGTGGCCACATTGTCAA